GCTACCTTCTTTACGTCTATTATTTAATTTTAACAGCTGTGTAAGGTAGATATTCTTACCATTTTAGAAATGAGATCAATGCTAAGAGGCAGAAATTGTGGTAAGTAATTTGTCCAAGGATATATAATTAAGGTGGTGAAATCAGAATCTGAACCTATGTTTTTCTTATTCCAAAGCCTTAGCTCTTAACCTTTATATAATACTGCTTTCTTTTTTTGGGGAGAGGTTTTTGCTGTAGGGTGCATGTGCTTGCCAGAAAGACAGAGACAGAGAGACAGAAAGCGAGAAATCACCCCCAGGGGGGATGGCCACATTGCAGTCCCATTCTCCTCTCGCCATCTTGGGCAGGCACACATGCACACATGCCTGGTGTGAGCTTAAGCCACTAGGTATGGGACTCAAACTGCGGTCGACTACATGGGAGTCCAGCGACACAGCCATTATGCCAACTGCAGGTCCTGCATTTTGCTATAGGGTGCATGCGCTCGCCGGAAAGACAGAGAGAGACAGAACAATAGAATGCGAGAAATCATCCCCCAGGGGGGATGGCCCCGCCACAATCCCTTCTCCTCCATTCTCTCCTTGGGATCTTGGGCACGCACGCACACGTGCCCAGCGTGAGTTTAAGCCACCGTGTCCGGGAGTCGAACTGTGGTCGGCTACATGGGAGTTCAGCGACATAGCCATTACGCTAACTGCTGGTCCCCATACTGCTTTTTTAACATTTGCATTATTTTGAACTTTAATTTTCCTCATCATTAAAGTAGAAATTGGACTTCACTACTTACTTCACATGATATCTAATTCATTCATTTAGTTTTTTAAGAATTATTTATTTATTTCCATTTGATTGTTTCTTTTTTTCTTCCTTTTTTTTTCTTTTCTCTAATTTATTAACCTTTAAATGTTCTACTCATTCTTCACATTTTCCTCGTGGTGTTTGTTCATATATTAATAGAGTTTTTCTTTTTTTCAGTATTTTTTTTTTTTTTTTTTTTTGTCAAAGGGCACATTTGCTCCCTCTTCATTCCCCTTCTCTGTTCATTGTCAAGAATAGGGCACATGTGCTCACTGGAGAAATGCAGAGAAACAGAGAGTGAAAGGGAAAGTGAGAAATCACCCCCTGTGGTGGGGGGATGGCCATACTGCAATCCCTTTCTTCTCTGTTCTCCTCCTGGGATTTTTAGGTATGCACCTGGCGTGATTTTTAAGCCACCAGGACCGGGACTTGAATGACAGTCTGCCATTTGGGAGTCCAGCACCTTAACCACCATGCCACCTGCTGGCTCCAATAATAAAGTGTTAATTGAAAGGTGTACGATGATAGACATGCTGAGATAGTATCTTGAACCTTTCTGATGTTACAGAAGCCCTTCAGGGTTTTGGTGGTTTAGAGATGCCGGTTCTAGTGCAGGTTGGTATATAAAGTTTTTAAATGACTTTTGGTTAAACTTTGAAATTATTCTCTTATAGAAAAAACTTTTAGGTCTTCATTTAACAGAAGAGGTCTCATTTATCTGCCAAGAGTTTTTTTCCCCTTCTTTTCTTTTTTCTTTAAAATCTACTAGCAGATCAAACCATATAAGAATAAATGATCATTTATTATGCTGAATAGAAATATAACTCTTAGAAATTTTCCTTCTCTCAGCTGTTACTTGTATTTTTTTCTAGTTAATTCTTTTCAGCACTTTGTACAGGAGTAATCTATTGATTCCAGCTCCCCTGTTTTGGAGAGATTATTTGTTTTTTTTTTTTTTTATGGGACTCAGCATTTTCAAACACTTAAATAGTGCCCTAGTCAGATGTTGAAACAGAGATATACTAAATGATAGTTGAATTTAAAGAATGTGTATCCTTAGTTATATGCCCTAAATATTCTCTTTAAATATGACAGTTTTCACATTTTTAAATTATGAGCAGTATTTTAGAATTCAGTTATGATAAAGGACCATAAACAGAGTATATCATCAGTATTTAAAATGAGTTATCAATGGAATATATCAAATTCTCTCTCTTGAAAGTAAAATTTTGGGCTAGCAGGTGGCGTAATAGTTTGTGTAGTTCAAGACCTGGGCCTGGTGGCTTTCTTTCTCACTTTCTCTCTCTCTGTTTCTATAGGGAGAACCTATAGCAAATTACTACTGCTACTACTATAAATAAAACAAATAATTATTTTAAAAAATAAAATTTCATATACTATAATATTAGGAAAAAATTATATTAACTTGAATAAAATCATCTCACCTAATACTCCTGTCTGTTTTTCTAAAGTATTAGGAACTGGGAACCAGTAGATGGCATAATGGTTACATTGCTGGACTCCCACATGGCCGACAGTGGTTCAAGTCCTGTACCTGGAGACCTGAAACTAAACACTGGGCCTGTGTACATGCATTCCCAAAATCCCAAGAGGAGAATGGAGGAGAAGGGATTTTGGCATAGTCATTTCCCCAGGAGGATGATTTTTTGCTGTCTCTGTCTCTCTGGCAAGTACACATGCTCTATAGCAAAATTTTTTTGGAAAAAAAAAAAACAACTGTAGTTGAATTTCGTTTAATGATTCATTTCATAGCAATACTTAGTAGGAGAGCAAATGAAAGAATTCTTGAGAGTATTTACTGTTTCTATTTCAGCTTCATTTCTACTTCAAATCTAATATTTAAGGACATTTATATCAGGCATCTAGGATACACAGAAGATGATGGTAAATACTGCTTTTTAGTGATGTTTACATCTAATGTAAGGAGTAGGAAAAGTATCTCTGACATCTCTTCCTCACACACTAGATGGGAGACTTTCTTCCTTCATTAACTCTAAGTTCAGTGATTGTATATATTATTAGCTTTTGTTTTAAAACATATGTACTATATAAAAATTTTTTAATTTGCCAAAGAGCACCTGTGCTTGCCAGAGAGAGGGAAAGTAAGAAAGCACCCCTTCCCCACATGGTGGAAGGTCATGCTATAATCGCTTCTTTTCATTTATTATTATTATGTTTTAATTTGACCAGAGAGAGATAGAAAGAAAGGGAAAGGGAGAAATCAAGTCGCAAGGTCTGGGACTCGTACTGTGGTTGCCCATGTGGGAATCCAGTGCCTTTAACGACCACGCCACCTGCCGACTTCCTGGCTTGTTTTTCAGACTACCGGTTCTGAAATCATGCATTTAGTCATGTGGGATCTAGCTGCCTTAACCACAGCACCGCTGGCTGGCCCCATATAGACTACTTAATCACTCCAATACTTTTTAAAATGGTGGTTTTGCCAGAACTGGATATTTTCAAGGGTTTCCTAAAATATCCATAGGAAAAGTCTCATATCTGGAATTTTTTGGCACGTTAGTATTATGATACAGTGCACGGGATAAAGCAAAAAACCCAAATGATGGTAGACTTAGGTTTTTTCATTAAGAAGAGCTATTTATAGTTGGGCAAAATCATTGAACTTTTCTGATATTTGAATTCTTCATGTTTAGAATAAAGAAAGAACTATTTTAAAGTTCTCAAAGATTTGAAATTTTGGGGCTGGCAGGGTGGCATGGTAATTAAGGGTGCTGGACTCCCACATGGCTGACTGTGGTTCAAATCCCGGACCTGACGGCTTGCTTTCTCACTCTCTCTGTCTCTCTAATTCTGTCTCTCTCTGGTCAAATTAAAAGAAAGAAAGAAAGTTAGGTAAACAAATTTTAAAAAATTGAAATTTTATGTCGAACATACTGAAAAGAATATATTGTCTTTATTTAGTGAAAATAAACAGAGTACCTCTAACTACTACAACAAATATAACAAAGTACAGTGAAATTCACAATTTCACTTAAACAAAACTACTCTGGTCCTTTCCAAGTGTATCTATTATTTCTCACAAAGTATCAGTAAAGTACTGCTAGTGGTTTATAGATAATAGTCAAGAAGAGCATCTAATAAAGAAGAGTTAAGAAAATTTTACAAATACAGTAATGACAAAAAATACCACGATAATTTAGCCTGAGCCAATCACTTGAAGAACAAATAACAGTCTGAAGGGCATCATTGTCATGTGGCAAAGCATATCCATTGTAGTTTGTAATATTAGCTAGCTAACCAAGCAAAGGTTGTACTGTCCTCTTTTGTTTAGGAGGATGTCTGACTTAAACCTTTTAAACTCCACCGATTTAAAAGGTTTGGAGCTTTAAAATGTACTTTAATTTTCTAAACATTTACTCCTATCTACTATTTTCCTGATCCATTGCATATACATTATCACCAGTGTAGGTGATATTTCACTTAAGGAATGTGTTATTAGCATAGATGCTACCTTAATTGTATCTTCTTTGGATTTAGCATTTGTCATGTGTCAATTACAAGTTTGTAATTATTTACTAAAGACCTTTTTGTTGAATGAGAAGGACAAAGATTGCTTGAATTGATTTGTAGTAATCTGTTTTTAATAACTACTAACAAAGAAAAAATTTATGTTTTTTAGAGAGTTTTTTTTTTTTTTCTATAGGGTTTAAGTGCTCACCAGAGACACAGAGAAAGACAGGGAAGGGAAAAATCATCCCCTGGTGGGTGAGGTGGGTAGCCAAACTGTAATCTCTTCTCCTCCTGGGATTTTGGGCATGCATGCACACATGTGACTTGAGTTTCCAGCCACTGAGTCCAGGACTCGAACCATAGTTGGCCATGTGGGAGTTCAATACACCAATCACTGCTGGCCCTGAAAAAAAGTATTTTTAATGAAAAATTGGTTAAAATTGTAAGTACCCCAATAACATTCAGTAATAGAATTAAAGACATTTTAGTAGCAGGCTAATCTTAACCATAATTTATAAGAAACAAGAACTTCTAGAAACAAAAAAATGATTTTATCCAAAATTTTGAGTTCATGAGTTGGTTTATAGAGTGGTATAGTTGTAATAGCTTACTTACTCTAAGATGGTGATGTTTGAAAATTCAACTTCTTAGAATGCAGTTTTTACTGAAAACTTAAGGACAGTACAGTGTTTGTTGTTCTGTGTGACAGGATACCCAGAGTTATATTGACGAATGTCCTGGGAACGGAGTTAGGAAGAAAATACATAAAGAACCCATCTGTAACTGAGGCCAGTTTGAGTGATACAGACAACTTGCAATCAGAGCAACTTTCTTCATCATCTGATGGCAGCCTAGAATCTTGTCAAAATGTAAATCCTCACAAGAGCTGTTTATTATCTGAAAGGTATGTTTAGTGATGACTTTACTCAAAATAAATATATTTTCATGAACCCTTCCCTGTTCTTCCCCCACAGATCCACTATTACTAAATGTGAGGTAATTATGCTCTCATGTCTGATGCAACTTTTCTTCCTTGGTGGCTGGAATGGCTAGAGGGACCAAGAGTTCATGACTGATAATCAGTTTCAAAAGTCCTGGTCATCATACTCGTATTTTGGAAAGACACAATTAATAAAAATTTAGTTACCTATTTCAGTATCTCAGTTTGTCTGATATAGTTGAAATCCATTCCACTGACATCAGTCTATTCCTCCTGTCTTCTCTGTCCTGTCTCTCCATCTTTCTGTTTTTCTTTCCCTCTATCCAGTCTTAGTCACTATTTTTAGATACATATACTAGAACCGTTCAAGGCACTTGATGCTCAGTAAATATGTATTTGTTGAATAAATAGCTGAATACATTCCTTACAAAATGGTTTAAGAAAGCAGAATTCCATTTACAAACATGGCTTATTGTGCCAATAAGAGAAATACAAATCTGAAGTTGCCTTTTAAGCTATAGGAAAAAAAAATCATGTGTGGACTAGAAAATAAGAATCTGGGGGAAAGGCTTGGAGATGGTCAGTTGATAAATTCAACTAGATTTTTAAACTTTTCATTTGCCATGAACTCCTGAAGTTTCTCTTTATTTTCTGCTTTCAACATATAGAATAAAGAGTTTTCATCTAAGTGAAAATTGATCATCTTAATCCCCCAACCCCCGAACCGTCATCCAAAGGTAACTTCTGCTTTGTATTTCTACTGTAAGCCCAATTATGTATAGTTGCCTTTTTAAAAGATCTACAGCAAATTTCCTTCATTCTAACAAGTTTTATTTTTTAAGTTGTTTATTTCTTATGAACTTTCAAATTTTTCTCTCCTTTTGGAAATTATGTTTTTTTTTAAAATAAGCATTTAAAAATATTTTATTACACTTTATTTATTTATTTTAATTTGATCAGAGAAGTACACAGAGAGAGAGAGGAGAGAGGAGAGAGAGAGAGAGAGAGAGAGAGCGAGAGCGAGAGCGAGAGCGAGAGCATGCACGTATTAGTGAGCGAGCGAGCTGCCAGGTCCAGGACTCAAACTGTGGTTGGCTATGTGGGAGTCCAGCGCCTTTAACCACCATGCCACCTGCTGGCCCCTTTATGTTTTCATCTAGGTTCTACTTAGTGCATTATTAGAGATAACTTTTTTTTTTTTTTTGAGAGATTTTTGCTATAGGGCGTGTGCGCTTGCCAGAGAGACAGAAAGCAAGAAATCACCTCCCAGAGAGGATGGCCATGCCACAATCCCTTCTCCTCCATTCTCCTTTTGGGATTTTGGGCATGCATGTACATGCATTTTTAAGCCACAGGGTCTAGTACTTGAACTGCGGTTGACTATAGAGTCCAGTGATATAACCATTATGCCATCTGCTGGTTCCATTAGTGAAAACTTTTAATTTTATATTTTATTAGATCTCTGTCTACATTAGCCCCACCCCCATAGGAATTTTTTCAGTTTTTTCTTTTCGTTTGTATAGGGCATGTGTGCTTGCCAGAGAGAGAAAGAGAGAAAGAGAGAGAGAGAGAGAGAGAGAGAGAGAGAGAGAGAGAGAGAGAGAGAGAGAGAGAGAGAGAGAGAGAGAGAGAGAGAGAGAGAGAGAATGACAGACAGACAGACAGTGAGAGGGAAAGTGAGAAATCATCCCCATGGTTGATGGCCATGACAGTCTTTTCTCCTCCATTCTCCTATTGGAATTTTGGGTACATGTGCACATGTACCTGATGTTATTTTCAAGTCACTGGGTTCAGAACTCTCACTGTGGTTGGCCATCTTGGGAGTCCAGCACTTTAACCAACATATCACCTGCTGGCCCTATGCCATAGGAATTCTAATGTTATTTCCAGTTACTAAATAAAATATATAGTTAGAGATATTAGAAATATATCTATACTTTGGGGGCTGGCAGGTGGCGTGGTGGTTAAGGTGTCAGATTCCCACATGGCCAACAATGGTTCAAGTCCTGGACCTGGCAGCTTGTTTTCTCACTGTCCTCCTCTCTCTTTCTCGTCTCTCTTTGGTCAAATGGAAGAATAATAATAAAGTAAATAATTAATAAAAGGAAATACATCTACACTTTGTACTATGCTTGCTTATTTCTGCCTCCATTACTAGACCATGGTTCCTTTAAGGAGAGGAATCAAGTTTTATTTGCAATTGAACTATTGCTTAGCTGAATACATACTGACTTTTTGCACTTTGGTTACTGCTCATGTCATTCAACCTTGAGCTTTAGTCTCCCGAGTTGTGAAAAGTGAAGTAATTTTGAATGTCTTTTTGTCATAGTTCATTTTATGTTTCAATAACAATACCACAGCCTGAGTAATTATACAGAAAAGAACTTTATTTCTTATAGTTCTGGAAGCTGGGAAGTGCACAATTGAGGGGTGCATGTGTCATGATGGCCTTTTTGCTGCATAATCTCATGGTGGGAGTCAGGACAAGGAAGCACATGTGAGAGAGGGCTGAACTTACTTCTATTACAAACCCACTCAATAATGGGTCCACTCCCATGATAATTACAGTAATCCAGTAACAAGGGCAAAACCTTCATAACCTAGTCACCTCCTAATGATCCCACCTCTCACTGAGGTTATGTTTTCAATATATGAACTTTAGCAGGCACATTCAAACTGTAGCTCCATTCTGCTTCACAAAATTGTTGTATTATCTCCTTTAAATCTCAAATATGAGAATTCTTTGTGCACACAAAATACTACACAAATAAAAATGTTATAGAAGTAATTCTGTAGAAAAAAATTGAAATGTACTGTTATACTAGTGTACATTCATGCTTTTATGAAAAATAGCACCATTGTGATGATATTATGAAACTATCAAGTTATAATCTGTGCTTTTCAGGCTTTATACCAATGTGGGGCCAAAATTTAATAGTAATAGGTACAAAATTTCTGGCTCATCTCCAAATTTACACAGAGGGAGCCCTCACTCACCTTTAAGTCCTTTGTAAATAGTTATGATTGCCAGGTGATTAAAAATATATTTATTAACTATTTTATTTTTTACCGTAAGTGTAGCACATCTTTATTTTCATTGAATATTTAGAAATTCTAAGGGATATTTTAAACATAGAAAAAATTCCTATGCCTTCACAGTACAAAAATCTCTATTGTGGACATTTTGGGTGATTACCTTCCAATTACCGTCCATAATTATTTTATTTTATTTTTATATTTAATCACAGTACACCTTTATAGCATACAAAGTGAATCTTCCCTGCATCAATACACTGCATATTAGTCTAGTCAAAGATATTATCACATACATCAGCAGCACATAATTTTCCGCTTTTGTTTTTGTTAAATGTTTTGCTTTTTTCTCCCCTTGATTCCCTCTCCCTCTCCCCACCAGGTAGTTTTGATGTGGGCCCTGACAATTTATTCTCTTAGTGGCAGTGTTCTTTGATTTTTGCATTTGAAATAAACATAAATGTTAGAGTCAGACGTCTAGATTCACATTTAGCTGTATTGCTAACACACTGACTGACCTTGGGCAGGTTACTTATCCAGTCCTTACAATGGAGGTAATAGTACATACTTTATAAGATTAGTGTGCAGCTTTAAGGATATAGTCTATATAAATCCCTACTATAATGCTTAGAACTTAGTAAGTGATTAAGAAATGGTAAGTTATTATTTTGGCTGCTCATGTCAAAAGTGCCATTAAAGGTTATTGCTGTAGTTGCTGCTATTGAAGTTCCCATACTGAGAATGCCAGTGACTGATCCACAGACAGCTCTTACCAGTGCTGCCAAGGCAATTGTCACATCCTTATTAGCATCCCATTTGGCTTAAGGAGGAGTACCGATCTCCTTATACCAAGATCTCGTTCTCTTTTCCCTTAAAGTGAGTTGATTTTGAGAATTCAAAACATGGAAATGGAAATACATGGAAGGTATGACCATACTGGCACTTTCGTAGGTATGTCTGAGTACAACAGAAATACACCAGGGACATGGAAATAGGCTCAGAATAGGACTACTGTTATAACTGATATCCTAACCTGCCCACATTTTTTTTTTAAATTGCTACAGGATATGTGTGTTTACCAGAGATGGTGAGATGGGAGGGGGCAGGGTGTTTTAACACCCCTCAGTGGGGTGTGGTCATGCTGCCATCGCTTCTCTTCCATTGTTTAATCCTGTTGGGATTTTGGGCATATATGCATATATGCCTGGTCTATTAGGTATTAAAAGAACTATATGGGACCAGCAGATGGTATAATTGCTATGTTGCTGGACTCCCATATGGCTGTCCATGGTTAGAGTTGTGGACCAGGAGGCTTGAAACTCATGCTGGGCATGTGTGTGTGCATACCCAAAATTTCGAGAAGAAAATAGAGGAGAAGGGACTGCCAAGTGGCCATTCCCCCCTCAAGGGTGATTTCTCACTTTCTGTCTTTGTCTCTTTGGTGAGTGCATGTGTACTATAGCAAAAATCTCTCTTAAAAAAAAGTAACTAGAGATGATTTAAATCATAAGAGAAAATGTTTCTAGCTTATATGCCAATACTTTGTCATTTTCTATAAGGGACTTGAGCATCTGTGGATTTTGGTGTCCTCAGGAAGTCAAAGAAGCAATCCTTGGTGGACATTGAGAGACAACTTCATATAGACATGACTATTTAGATCTCAGAAGGAGATGTATTTTGACATTGTTGTTACTGTTCTGTAGTTGCAAAGAATGTGGCAAACACTCCAATTCTCTTTTCTTTTTTTTTTCTTTAATTTGCCAGAGAAGACAGAGAGAGCATAGAGAAAGTGAGAAAGAATCCCCCTGCCCCCATGGGGAATGGTCATGTCACAATCCTTTCTCTTCCATTTCTTCCTCCTTTTGGGCATGTGTGCATGCACATGTGCCCAGTGTGTTTTTAAAGCTACTAGGTCCAGGACTTGAACGGTG